TGAATAGACCAATAACAAGAGCTGAAGTTGGGGCAGCAATTAAGAGCCTACCACCCAAAAAAAGTCCAGGTTCAGATGGGTTCACAGCAGAATTCTACCAGACGTACAAAGAGGAGCTGGTACCATTCTTATTGTAACTATTCCAAACAATACAAAAAGAGGAAATTCTCCCCAACTCATTTTACAAAACCAATATCACACTGATACCAAAAACTGGCAGAGACTCAACAAAAAAAGAAAACTTCAGGCCAATATCCATGATGAACATATATGCAACAATCTTCAATAAAATACTGGCAAACCGATTGCAACAGAACATCAAAAATCTTATCCATCATGGTCAAGTAGGCTTCATCACAGGGATGCAAGGCTGGTTCAACATATGCAAGTCCATAAACATAATCCACCACATAAACAGAACCACAGACAAAAACCACATGATTATCTCAACAGATGCAGGGAAGGCCTTCAACAAAATTCAACAGCCCTATATGCTAAAAACTCTCAATAAGCTAGGTATCAATGGAACGTATCTCAAAATAATAAAAGCTATTTATGACAAACCTACAGCAAATATCATACTGAATGGGCAAAAACAGGAAGCATTCCCTTTGAAATCTGGCACTAGACAAGATGCCCTCTCTCACCACTCTTGTTCAATATCATATTGGAAGTTCTAGCCAGAGCAACCAGGCAAGAAAAAGAAATAAAGGGTATTCAATTAGGAAAGGAAGAAGTCAAATTGTCTCTATTTGCAGATGACATGATTGTATATTTAGAAGACCCCATTGTCTCAGCCCAAACTCTCTTTAAGCTGATAAGCAACTTCAGCTAAGTCTCAGGATACAAAATCAATGTGCAAAAATCACAAGCATTCCTATACACCAATAACAGACAAACAGAGAGCCAAATCAAGAGCAAACCTCTTTCACAATAGCTACAAGGAGAATAAAATACCTAGGAATAAAACTAACAAAGTAGGTAAAGGATCTCTTCATGGAGCACTACAAACCATGGCTCAAGGAAATAAGAGAAGACACAAATAGATGGAAAAACATTCCATGCTCATGGTTAGGAAGAATCAATATTGTGAAAATGGCCATGCTGCCAAAAGTAATTTATAGATTCAATGCTATCCTCATCAAACTACCAATGATCTTCTTCACAGAACTGGGAAAAAACACTTTAAACTTTATATGGAACCAAAAAAGAGCCCACATAGCCAAGACAATTCTAAGCAAAAAGAACAAAGCTGGCAGCATCACACTCCTGACTACAAGGCTACAGTAATCAAAACAGCATGGTACTGGTATCAAAACAGAGACATAGGCCAATGGAACAGAACAGAGGCCTCCGGAGCAACACTACACATCTACAATCATCTAATCTTTGACAAACCTGACAAAAACAAGCAATGGGGAAAGGATTCCCTCTTCAATAAACAGTGTTGAGAAAATTGGCTTGCAATGTGCAGAAAGCAGAAACTGGACTCCTTCCTGACACCTTACACTAAAATTAGCTCCAGATGGATTAAGGACCTAAACATACAAGCTAACACTATAAAAACCCTAGAAGAAAATCTAGGCAAAACCATCCAGCACATAGGCATAGGCAAGGACTTCATGACTAAAACACCAAAAGCAATGGCAACAAAAGCCAGAATAGACAAATAGAATCTAATTAAACTTCAGAGCTCTGTACAGCAAAAGAAACAATCATTAGAGTGAACTGGCAACCAAAGGCAAGAAAGACAAACTTCACATGATGTCACTCATGTGGAATCTAAAAAAGTTAATTTAAAGAAATAGAAGAATAGTGCTTATCAGAGGCTACGGGGGGGTTGGGGGAAGATGAACTGTGAGTGACTTGTTAATGGGTACACAGTTACAATTAGACACAAAGAATAAGTTTTAGTGCTCTGTTACACAGTAAAGTACTACAGCAAATATCATTGTTGCGTGTAATTCAAGATAGTTAGACAAGAAGAATTTGAATGTTATTACAAGAAAAATGATCAATTCTTCTAGCAATATATATGATAATTACCCTGATTCAATCATTATACTATGAATATATGGACTAAAACATCATATTGTACCCCATGAATATGTACAATTATTATGTGTCAATTATAAACTAAAATCTTAAATAAAGAGAGGCTTAGACTATACTAAAACATGACACTGCTTTATTGTGAAGCCTCTGAATTGTTAAAATACACCAGAAATCAAAGTTTCCATTCCTTTTTATAAAAATTTAAGCAAATGACAATTCAATGACTAAAAAAAGACATTTTCAAAATAAACTGAGGTTACATGTAAAAATTATGAAAGTGTTTTTATTGTAAGGATGTGGAAACATTCTTATTACTTCATATACTCCATACACTTAAAAAGTTGAAAGTCAATTTTATTTTTCTAAGAGTATTAATCTTTTTTTAAAGTTTAAACATTTTAAAACAGATATAATTCATTTTAAAAATCAGAATGAAATAAAAAATTCCAACATAAATAAAAAATGAAGAGCAGAAAACATGGATTGGGTAAAAAAGACAAAAATCAGCACAAAATATTTAAATCCAAATATGCCAATAATTATAATAATTTTCAGTTAGAACATTCAAACATGTTCTAGAAATTAAAAAAAAAACAAAACATTCACACTGGATTTTAAGGTATCTAACTATAAATGATTTGTAAGCCACATCGGTAAATTATAAAAATACAGAAAAACAGAAAATAAGTAGATGAAAAGAGGTACACAACGTATACACTAACAAAAATAAATCACCATAGTATGTCAATGTCAGACACGATAGGATTTAAGGCAAATGACTTTACCAGAGATTCAGATGGTTGCTTTCATAAAATGAAACAGTTGAGTTTGACAGAAATATGGTATTTTTATTCATATGCACCAATAACATAAGCAGCATTTAAAAAGAAGACAAAACTATAAGAATAAATAGATAAATCCAAAATAATAGGAGAATTCAACATGCCTCTCTTAGTAAATGTCAGAACTAACAAAAAAATGAAAGGAAATCAAAAAATAAATAATACTTTAAATAGCACAGTGCAATGGATGGTTGTGCAGTCCTAACATGATACTTATCCATAAACCAAATTTTGCTTAATTTATTCAAAATTAACTTTAATTAAAAATAATTTCATAGTGTTCATCATTATATTTACTGCCGAGTCTTTTTTTTTTCTAACAGTTTTAAGTGTAAGGCAAAATATGACTAAATTATATTGTCTCACTTCACACGATATAAGTAAATCACACTTTGTGGTAATAAAGTATTAATAGAGACCATCTAGTTGAAGTATAAGCTTTATGCTACTTTTCAGATACACAGAGGTATCTTTAGAATAAAGTTTAAAATATTTGGTATCATTTGTCCAAGGAAAAAATATGTAATGATATTAAGTAACAGAGCATAAAGATTAAAAAAATAAAAAAATCTTATCAGGCAGATAAAATAGGGAGCAGAAAGAAAACGGTATACTTAAACAGAAATATCAATAATAGGACTAAGTGTGATAATGAGTGCTAATTAAAAGACAAAAATATTAGACTGAATTTGAAAAATATACAACTATAAGCTTTATACAAGAGATATAGAAAAAATACAAAGATACAGGAATGTTAAGTTTCCAGGATAAAAAATAAAATGTATCATGCAAATACCAATAAGAAGAAAGTTGGTAGAGTTACATGAATAGCAGATGTGATAGTTTTTGTTTTGTTTTGGGTTTTGTTTTGTTTTTGTAGTGATCAGGGCCTCACTTCATTGCCCTGGCTGGTCTTGAATTCCTGGCTTCAAGAGATCCCTTCATCTTTACCTTCGAAAGCGCTGGGATTATAGGGAGACATAATAGTTTTTAAAGGAAACAAACAAAAACTATAAAAATGATAAAGTAGTCACCTCTCAGTTTAAAATTGCCAATTTAAGAAATGGTAAAGAAGTTCCAGCTTACATGTTTGGACTAAATGTATCACCCATAAATTCATATGTTGAAGCCTTAAAAGCCTAGTGTTGCTGTATTTGGGGATAGGGCCACTAAGGAAATAAGGTTAGATGAGGTAATAAGGGCAGGGCCCTGATTCTACAGGATCAGTGTCCTTATAAGAGACAACAGAGAGCTCAATCTCTCTTCCCCCTTCCCCATCCCTACGCTGCACAAAAGCACCAAGGGAAGGTAATATGAGGACACAATAAGGCAGCAGCTGTCTGCCAGTCAGGAAGAGAGCCCTCACCAGAAATAAAATCCCCTGGCATCTTAGCCTCCAGACTGAGAAAATAAGTTTCCGTTTAAGTCATCCAACCTATGGGATTTTGTTATTGCAGCATGACCTGGCTAATATATATGCATATGAAGATTGATTTTGTTTGTGGATGCCTAGTACAGAGTAAGACCTCACTTAACATCATTAATTGGTTCTGTGAAATTGTGACTTTAAGCAAAATGGCATATAATGGAATCAATTTTTTTCTTATTCCCATTGTAACCAAACAACAGTGAACTAAACAATTCAAGGACCTGCAGTATATTGTTTCACTTAAAGTTTCAGTTTCCAAGAACCTACTGATGCCATTAAGTAAGGACTTACTGTACTGTGTTACAAAAGTCGATTAGGACATAGTGCAGTGAACCGTGAGTAAAATTTGAGAATAGTCATGTGTGTATCATGTGGCTGGCTTAGGGCTCCCAATATATATTTAAAACTTCGTATAGGTTTTCATGGCCTGGCTTCATTAGGACAAAAGTTTCTTCCAGTAAGATTGTTAATTTTAAATTTATATGTACATTAACAATAAAATTTCATAAGATATAAAGTAAAAGCTGATAGTATTATAAAAAGGAACAAAGAAATTCACATAGTGGAAAAATTAACACATCTAATTCCGTAATTACAGAGAAAACAGTAAAGATCTAGAAGTATATACTAAACAATTAAAAAACATTTTATAACATTTTAAACTTACTACTTACAATGAAAACTCTCACTTCCGGTAGCGTCAAGATTTTTAGTTTGAGATTGGCTTCTTGAAACTAAAACCACATCCTCAGGCGATTGTGGGGTTATAAGAGTCGCTAAATAGAAAAACAGATTTATGATAAAACTTCTGTATATGTCAAGTAATCAGCAACATGTCCTCTCATTTGTGAAAAATTAAAAGAATAGGACTAGGAAGTTACAGCAGTGAGCTATTTGTTAAAAGTAGACCATGGATGTAAAGTAGAAAATTCTCATGAATAGTTTCCATAAA